ATACATGAGTGCATGAGTGATATATAGTTGTGTATATATGACAGTAAACTTACATGTCTATAAATCAATAATTGTACTGGATAAAATGCTTTCAGTGAGTTTATCTAAACAATGATCTTTTCCTCTCTGTCTCAAAGTTTCTTTTTCTTGTCTGTCGTGATATTAGATATTAAATCATTACATTAAACTATATTTATATTTGTTACAGTGTAGATATAAAGGAAAGTCCTTTTATATTGTTAGTGTTTCTAGTGTCTGATCATTTGTCTTCTTTCATGACAATTAATCATTATGTTTAATATGAAACAATTAACCATTGTGTTTAATATGAAATAATTAATCATTATGTTTAATATGAAACAGGGACATATAATACAGAAAGCTGTATACTATATAGCTTGGTATTTCAGTTATTAATAATCTTAACATGCATTTTGTTTTACCCGAAATATTAAAAGTTTAACCGAAATCGTTTGTCACAAAAGTTAGCACAATCAATGTAAAAATTATTAAGATGTCTGATATCGTTCATTTTGAAAAGATTAGTTGTGCTCTTTTAGAGAAAAATGGTTTTTAAAAATAGCAAGGCTAGCTTGAATTTCTTCGCTACATCGTTACAATGTGATATAGGTCGTTTCTTATCCCTCTGTGTTATACGTTCCTGATTGAGATACATAATTAAATACCAGTTGTTGTTTAAATAACACATGTTCATTATCACAACTATACGTTGAACTATAATTGTGATTACGAAAATATAATCACTATTATTATAACAAGTATTTCTTTTATCATAATACTTTCATCACTGTAACAAGTACCTTATGCGTTGCATCCTTATTTTACTATAGACATCATTGCCAGCATCTCTTATCTAACCACGATCATAATTGCCAACATTTCTTGATTAACCACGATCATCATTGCCAACACCTCTTAATTAACCACGATCATCATTGCCAACACCTCTTAATTAACCACGATCATAATTGTCAACATTTCTTGATTAACCACAAACATCATTGCCAACATCTTTTATCTAACCACGATCATCATTGTCAACATCTCTTAATTAACCACGATCATCATTGTCAACACCTCTTAATTAACCACGATCATAATTGCCAACATCTCTGATTTAACTACGATCATGATTTACTGTCAACACCTCTTAATTAACAACGATCATCATTGTCACATATCTTATTAAACCCAGATCATTATTGCCAACATTTCTTATTTAACCACGATCATCATTGATCATCAGAGATTGTTATATGAGCGTGAATCCTTTCTCAAGGAACCCATTAACGATATGCTTCGATGATCAAAGACAAAAGATGGAAATTTAGATTGAGATACTGCTGAATAAAGAATTTAACTGCTTTTGTTTGTAGAGGTAAGCTTAACTTTCAATGTCGACCAGTTTTGTGAGAGCTAGAACCAGATTTTTGCTTTAGAAGTAAGGTAACTTTCATTGCTGACCTGTCTTTTCGTAAAGGAGCAATGTTCTGTTTTCGAGGTAAATTAGCTTTCATTATCGACCTATTTTTTTGTAAAGGAGCTATGTTCTGTTTACGAGGTAAGTTAGCTTTCATTGTCGACCTATTTTTTGTAAAAGGGCAATGTTCTGTTTTCGAGGTAATGTTACTTTCATTTTCAACCTTTGAGAAAAGGACCAATGGTCTGTTTTTCTGGACGGAAAACTTCCATTGCCTTTTTGATATACGTAAGGAACCGTCATTATCTTTATAAAAGATAACTTTCAATGTGTCGTAACAACTTTGCAAAACCCTTCAGGCTTTTCAAGTTTGGTTTAATTTCGATGCCATCCTGTATGTAAGGCATGCTAGGTGATGGTTTCTTGTTGATAGATCTTGATGACAAATTCACACCAAAATTATTCAAGTATGTCATACCTTTTTGTCGACCCTGCTGTTTGCACGGATGTGACGTCACGATAACACGAGACATGGGACACACACAAATTTCGAAAGTCCCTAGAGCAAACTAGTGTCCGTGTAAGTCTGACGTCAGCCGTTTTATTTATAGACAACGATCAGGATAAGATTTCGGCTAAGGAACAAATATTGTCACACCTCACAAGGCAAAGTAAATACACGTGATTATTTTAAACACAAATTGACATAAATATGCCATTCGTTTCCGATTTGAGCTACACATGTCCCTCTGGCTCATTTTGTTACACGCTTGGTGGATTTTAAAAAAAAAATCAAATCGAATGACATCGTAACTTCCCCTGTAACTTTATTTTAAATGGGACACAGTGTTGTGTGCTTAGGGTCACTTATTGATATTTCAGTCCTTCACAAGTTCGTCCAGTTCAAAGTTCTCACACTTTTCAAGTAGGCTGCAATATATGACTGTAATTCAGAGCAAGTTGCCCTCTATATAAGACATGTTAACATGTAAAGCCTTGTCTGAGCATGCTAAAATAAATTAATGTCACAGTTTTAGGGAAGAGACAAGAACGGCCTGGGACGTAATTGGGTTGCTTATTGTCTCACACTTTTAAATAACTCTGTTATGTTGCAGACTAGAAAGTATTAAATACAGACATACACGAACTCGGTTCTCTTTGTAGTATTGTTTAAACATCATTAGGTCTACAAAGAAAAGATTGATGGTGACCTGAATGCCATGTCATCTAACACACCTCAAATGTAGAATAGCATTACACATAATATTTCATAGTTTTTTCAGTGGCGTAGCAAATGACTTTTATAGGTATATACTTTCAAGTAAACGACCAGGGGCGAACCCTCGGTGGGGGGTCTGGGGCTAAGTAGAAACAAAAGTAAGAAAAAATATCTCAATTGAATTCGAGTGTGTTCTTAAGAGTATAATCATACATTATTGCTACGCTAATGATTTATATATAGTTTGTCTCAGAATAAACAGAAATGAGGACAACAGGAAGAGAAAGGCCACGATTCTATTCTGATAATGAATACACGTTAGTTCATTAACAACCCTTGTGAACAACCTGATACTATTCACTAAGAACGCGCGTTGTATTGTCGTTTGTCAGTACTTATATTTAGCTGTTGCACGGCTAAGTATATTGACAAGGAGTTTCTATCGTCGTCGTGGTTGATTTGAATATTTCTAACTCAGTCTGAGCTATATTTACACTAGCTAAGCCATATTTAGCTACATCCACTCCCCATTTAGATGGTGTTATTTAAAACGGCGATGAGGATCAAATGGTCTTCCACAGCGCCCGAGGGAATGTCGGAGACAAAGTTGATTACAGATCCGCCGACAAAGGTCCTCTCAACACTTTACCTATGGGTCTATTAAAGTTGTAATTATTATGATACTGGCAGGCTGATGTAAGTGTTCATACATCGACAAAGCCACTGGTAAATACCACCAACTAATATTGCACAGCTGTCAATTTTTTTTTATTACGAAATGGATTCAATATTGTAGGTCTGAAAGCACAAATTCTTATCAGGTTTAGGCCGTCTCATATTTCTAAAGAATTTTTATAATGACATTATATTTTGCTGATAACGGTATATGTGCGTTTAACAAAAAGAGATTTCAAAAGTCTCGGTGTTGTTGGGTTTACGAACTTTGCAAACATTTCATTGAAGTAATATTCCAAATTTCTAATAAATATGTATATAAGTAAGAATGAAATACAGACAAACACCGTTACTATAATCAGGAACTATTCATTGTATGAATGAAGAAAAGACCATTTTAATATTTCCTCAGCATGTTGTACATGCGGTTGTAACTAACGACCACGTGGCTATTCTTCGAATACAAATCTAGGTCCGGAAGTTTCCGGAAATTAGTGACGTATTACAGAGTCAAAGTGGACAATTTAACTCAACTTATCCTTGGTCGTAAAAGTATGTAATCATTTAACTTATTAACTATTAAGTATGTACCTTGGGCATAAGTGTATAATATCATTCAGCTAAACTAATACATTTATAAACAAAGTCGTGCTGAAGTGCTCAGCATTGCTTCCGATGACGTCACTGTGACGCACTTTTGTTCAAAGACATGACGGGTAGATCAGGGTTCGCCAATAAGAGAGGCTCGGTAAAGCAGTCTCGTTACCGTTATGTAACCACGTGTTGAACTGCCGACACAGGTATATAGTAGACTGGCTATACCTGTATGTATCGGGTGATTTGTTGTCAAAACAAACATTATTATACCAATATACATACGATGACTACCTATATAAGTTAGGTCTACATTAGCCAAAGTTTAGAAGGAACTTCGTCCCGGATATAGATTACAACAGGGTTTCTTTCAAACGATTATACAGAGCATTTGATTGGACGGTTTGTGGTACGAGTCCTACTTAGAGAAAAGCGTGTTTACCTTGTATTACATCTGTTTGTAAATATAGTGACTCGGTACGGGGCTATCGAACCTTGGCTGTGTATTGTGTTACTTTCGCGTGCTGAAAAAACAGGTCTAAGTTCTATTTATATTGCTATATTTTTGTAACATTAACATAATCTGAAGCTCCACTACAAAAGATTGTTACAAAGTCAATCTTATGTGGTTATTTTTTTTCTAAAGAACAACGAACTTACTCAAATCAACATTGCATTGCACGTCACGTGTTAGTGCCTCTCAAGATCCCATCCGTACAAGCAACATAACATTAATTTAGACACCGACTCCACCAAGATATGTTATGTTCAGGCCAAGCATAACAGCAATAAAATTTTAAAAGAGTTTTACTCTCCGATTTATAAGAAATGTATTTGTTTGTCAGCGCAGGATGTTAACAGACACCGTGACGTCAATGTTGCACAAGGACAAGGACAAAAATCGATTTATCAAAACAAAATTTCTCGCCGAGTGCATCAATGTCAAAGCAGTGTGGCTAATCATGAACAAATCGGCATAGTCTGGCCTGAAGCCAAAGAAAGCATCTTACATAATTTGCAATCCGTATTTAAATTCTACAGGTTATGAAAAATAACATGACAACATTTTTTTCTTTTGTGTATTTTAATCAATATAAGACAATCAAACACGCATACTGATAAACTCTCAATAATTTCTGAAAAAGACAAATGTCTTAAGTTTTTAACATTTACTTAAAATGTCGTCAGAGATAGTGATTCACTCCGACTGATGATAAAATTAGTTAAGTTTGTATTATGTACAAGTAAGCGAGTTCCCACCTGAACTGTTATGTCTGGTGATTTAACTTCCAACGTTAGGTCCTCTCTCGCGAATTGCCTTACAATAATACCTGACGTAAGTTTGTACATGAATAATTAATTTGCACGTGTCTCCGATTCCTGAACTTTACGTCAGTTTTAGACGTGACAATGTCCCTATCTGCACTGCACAGCACATGGGTGTAGTTGGTTCACAGAACAGGATATCACACTGAACCCACGTCTTTTCTTTTCTCACTTTGACACGAGGTGTCAAAATTTGTCATGAAGCAGTGATTGCTTGTTGACTGACGTCTCGCTGACATCAGCCATGTCTTCAAGGTGTTAAACTGGAGTTAACACCTGGTCGTTAAGGTGACGACACCAGGCTAAACCGGCACGGTGACGGTTCTAGCATCCACGTGGGCGGCAAGGCATAGATAGCCATATCCGTCCAGGAATAGCTGTGATGAAATGTTGCCCCTCTCTCGAGGTTGTCGGGACGATAGAATTCTTGGACCCTCCATGTAGTCTGGAAGACGTCCGTCGTCTATGTCGACTGTTGGGCCCTATGAGGCGCAATGGGGATCACATGATCGGCCAGGAAATTGGAATCCTGCGAAAACATAAGATAAATATTCTTGAAAGATGTAAAAGAAAAAATAGTTAAATGAAATAGATTAAAATTTTTCTTCAAAAAAAAAAAAAAATATATGGGAAAATGTTATTAATTCACAAGTTTATCTATGTACCTGGATGTAGAATTTGATCCAAGGTGGGTCAAAGGTCAACTCTCATTCAGGAAGTTCTATGATGTGATGGTCAGTTGCCTCCAGGAGCTGCAACAGTGCTGAATCGGTTATTGGACTAAGTGCCCGGATGAGGACACAACTGAAATCGGTATCCATCGAACAAGTGTTGGTCACGTTGTTGTTGTCCTCGGGAACCTGTGTAGTCAAAATTTTTGACAATTTTTTCATGGTATCAACCTGAAAGATAAAAGTTAAACCAGTTTTAGTGATATGATGAAGACATATAAAGTTGTTGATTATACACAAGTCATCCCCACCCAAACAATGGTCACAAATATATATTGACAAGCTGTTTACTCTTCCGAATAGAGCCAATTACATGTACAATTTAAAGTATATACCTTTATGACCTTGATGTCATTTTCCCAACAGAAAGCCTGTATGAGAGTGTGTTGGATCTGTATAGTAACATCCTCTTGTATTGGGTGTACAGGAAGCACGCACATCACCACGTTATCAGGGTCACTGTAACATACAAAATTCCACAATAAAAGTACAGTAATCAAACAGGATTTATTACATTCAACAAGGATATATTAACTACAATGAAATTATTTCATTAAATTCATTTAATTTCAACAAATTTTAGAAATCATTTTAATTGACCAATACAAATTTAATTAATAAATAAATTCGAAAACTTACTTTTGCAGTTGCTGTGCGCATTCAAATGCGCCGCAAGTCACTCTGCCCTCCAGCATGGCACTCGCCAACACTGTCTGCATGGCATCGCCAACCTTCAGTGGGGTTCTGGAAAACAGAACAGTTTTCATTAGTATTGAAGTAGAACGAGGAAATCGTGTATTATCTAACAGTATCAACTGAGCCGGGCACCTGCCTTCGTGTGTGAATCATAAGACAACTACCTAATTATGATACCCCTATGATCTCACGTGTGACTCACAGATCGCATGTCAAATCCGGGCACGACCTGGACCAATTACCATCATTTAACATCCATATCACATCTACACACATTTTCTACAACATTATATTGTCACGTATCTCTGGTTACATGACATAATGGTGATATTTGTCTAAATTCAGCTGATAAGATCATTATATAATTATTATCACAATATATTTGATGTTATCGGTCTCGTGCCGGTAATCTGACCATGACCGGTCATGACTAGTTAAGGCCGGACGGACTTAACTATGAACACCACTACTATCACGAGGGACTTCCCCGTCGTGTGCAACAGCTGAAAACCTCGTGACCAAATATAGAAACAGATATCGCGTGCAATTGCATTTATGCAAAGAAAGTAAAATATTTATCGCAATTAGAAGCCGTACTTCACTATCTATCACTCGAAACTAGTATTGAAGTTTAAATTGGAATGCACATGCTACCATAACAATATTTAGTTTCAGTTAAAACTGATACAATGAGAAATTAAATTCAGTCCTTACCTGTCAGAGGTCGGCATAGTAGATTCAATATCCTCGGGGAAAGTCATATTTCCAATTAAATAAATCCAAATTGTAAATCCAAATGTTCAGTAATAATCCAAATAAGCACAATGTGTAGCAAAATCTGGGACCAGTGAGATATACGTCTGCTCAGCACAACGTGTAGCTGTCATGTGGCTAGTGTACGTGTATACAACGTATTTTATCCGAGTAACAGATGGGGTAGTAACGTGTGTTTGTAAGAAGCCTTCTGATTGGTCAAACGCAGGTGTCAGCAGAGTTCACTGTACCGAAGAACTCCCGAACGGTGGCCAACGTTCCTAGCGAGAGGTCGTAGCGCTAGTACCAGATAACCGATTATTATCTACCTGTGCTTTGTATATATATCTTTGTCACTGTCCCTTGTTCCTGGTATAATTAGAGAAGTCGAAACCAACGACAAAGAAGTCGGGATCAGGCTCTTAATATAAGATTTATATAACGTCTTCACTAGTAATAAACACCAGGGGGTCTCTGTGTTATCGCTCTCCATCAGCAAAAGTGCTAATAACAATTGCTGCTTGTCCAAACTCCAAACTTCCACCTGTGTAAAGCCGTATACAGTGATTAATAACAGGTAGAAAAACCAGACACTCCCTAGGGTGGACTCCCGGGGAGACAAACTTCACACCTTCCCGTGGGCATTTGTGATCCATATTATTGTCATTGTAACAATTGGAGTGGGGAACTTGTCGGAAGGGATTGGTTCAACAATTCTCTCACTTCTCCTAGAGTTATTTCACTGTTTAAAAGGTCTATTATAGATTAGCAAAGTTTGCATATATATATCATGTTCATTATGTAAATCAATTAAATGTATTTCTTATCATCAGTAGTAGTAATAGAGATTTAAGCTAAACCTGGTTATGTAAGCACTACATAAGTTATATTGTGGTAAATCAAGGCTAATATATAGTTATTGTCTTTAACAAATATAGGTCACATCCATATTCAGTAATCACACACGAAACATAACATAGCATAATATAGGTCATACTTATTACAATATACATGTACTGAGGCAACATATGGATCAATGAGCCGTTAAGGCCTGGTGAACGCACGGGGTATTGAACTGCAGTTGGGTTCTTTGTCCTGAGCAGGTCGGCGGCCAGAGACCTTGGATACACAGAACATTAACATGAGCATGTCATTGCTTTGAAGAGATACCTCGCGGTCAGTCGTCCTGTTTGATCGATGTATGTTTTAACCAAATGCATATCTAGTCAGTGCCGGCAAGGTGTTGAGGTTGTGAAGAACCCCGGCCCATTTATTTTGTACCACACGTGTCGGCGCGAGACAACAAAGACATCGCGTCTAAATAGAATAAAGGAAATGTTTAACAAGTTAAACGGAGCTACATCAGACAATGGAGTATAATGTAATTAAAGCGAGCATTAGTGGCCTTGGAGACACGCTTTGCGTGGTCTGACGAACCTACAGAGGCTGTGCGTTCGTTTGACCCGATCCGCATGTCTGATCAGGTGTGCGAGGATGCTCCTAGGTCTACAGAAATAAGGCTAACCTCGTGCAGACTTGAGCAGTCGGGCAGACGTGTCTGTCTACACGAGATTTCCCCCACTGCATGCAGTTTCTAGCAGTGGTAACGAGGGGGGACGGAGGCGCAAAGGTCATTTAAATGTATCTTGATTTCCGCGGACATCTCGTGTAGACTACTGTTATAATACAACTCGGAGAGGTATCGTGCATACTGAGCTTTCGAATTTAATTTTTTCGAAATGCAGGTTTCGTTAAGTTGTCCATGTAGTCTACTGCTCTACAAACGGTTGACTACTTGTTCGGCAGTGTAGTATGACTCTTCATTTCATGTCCAGTTCACCAAGTTTGTATTTTGATAATCAACTAATTCTTCTTGTTTGGTAGTAATGTGCGGCATGATAACTTATAATGGATTATACAAAGGAGTATTCAGGTGTTGTACATCTGAACAAGTCTTCATGATTCATGAAACCGTTTGATGTTCACACGCGATAATGTGTACGTATTGTTCAAATACATTCATAAACAATGCTTGAAATATTTATCAATCTTATGTAAACGTAAATAAACACATTCCATTGACATGATACTTTCACTAAGTAAGTGTGGCAGGACATTTTCTCATGGTTAGATATAAGTGCACGGACAAGCATGCTCATCATAATACTAGTGTATAGGGACTGCTGAAGGGCCCCGTACCAGCTAAATAAAGACACGGTAGTTCCGCTCGCCCCCTAGCCCGGGCCTGACCACAGACCCACCGGAATGTGACTTTTGCTTGTATAGACGTGGGAAACTTAAATCAAACGCCAGCTAATTGCTGGCATGCACACTATGTGTACCGCATAGTATGCATAAACTTGAACGATTGTTCTTTCACGGATATAGACCGGCCCTATATACAAAACATATACAACTTGCGTTTTGCATTTTATATTCGACGAGAAGTTGATGAATCAATCCATTTTTGGAATAGTGCATTTTACACACTTAACTTGATAGGTTATCTTAAATTTCCAACTTCATTATTTCATTGAGTATGTGACGACTTTCTCCTCATCCTCGATACGCCGGGGCAGAGAGCGAAAGTGATCGTAACCACTGGAGTATCGAGGATGCAATTTCCTACAAATGAAATCGCAGTTGGTGTTGTGATAACATACAAATTTATGATACATGTTACATGTTTCCCGTAGGCTGTCCTTTGTAATATGCACGTATAGGTAATGGATCCCCCCTTCCCACCGAGACAGCTCGGTAGTTACTTTGAAACATCAAAGGTACCAGATAGACTGCTGCCGAGCGCGGGACACGCGTGAAGAAGAGATACTGCTGCTGAGGAGGCCTGCTAGAGTTACCGCTCTGACCCTGATAGTCCAAGAACCAGCCGCTGTAACAACACACAGAGCAGTATAATTTTACCGTCCCCTTCTAGTTTCTAACACATAGAAGAATTCCGGGAATTTTCATATTTGCATTCTCATTTTTTTTGTACATTCATAAGTACTTTAACAACAAATTTAATCCACAATTTCCTAGCCTCAGATAAGGCAAGGCATCGTCCTAACTTATGTATAATATGGAATGCATGCAGTTAACCAAGTTATAATATGACAAAACTGCACAAAGCCGTTCAATTCCTTCTTAACCTGTCACCTTTACCCACGGTTGGGAAATTTTCATCCACCCCAGTCTCTGGAAAAATACCCCAGGGTAACTGTTATTGCCCTTCCACCTAGCCTTAGCTTTGGTATAACCAGTCTCCCAGACCGCCATCCTACATAGTCCCCAGTGTACGGGTAGCAATTACCTCCCACCCTTTAACCATGGGTATATTTTGTGTTCATATCCACGCACCGATGGGGATACTTTCCAGCTATACTCCCACCCAGGTTTTCATAACAATACGAAACTTTAAGTGCCAAAAACTGTGGAGATCCCATTGCAGCCTCCACCCGGAGATATATTTCTGTACCGGAACCCATACCAGTTATGTCGAATGCGGTAATCTGTACTTTAATCTTAGTGCAGCTTGAGTGCACATTTAATATGTACTTTCGTGTGTGAGTGATCTACCAGCTGTACTTTACTAACTGTCCTCGCACACTTGATGGACCACGCCTGGGCTCACATTGCCTTTGTTTGAGGACCAAGCACCCTTACCCGCGAGCACCCGGCTATCTAATCCGAGTACAAAGGATCCGACACCGGTCCGGAGCGCTACATAATCCGAGTAACCACGAGGTGATATAGGTGGTGGTGCTTCTGAAGGTAGCGTGTCCGGGGGATAACAAAGCAAGCTTTTGGTGTATTGAGTCACCGGAGCTGATGACTACTTTGGCATGTGTGTTGAATTGTAGGATCAACTCTCACTAAGCAGTCGGTGTATCATTTGCTGTACTGTGTAAACCCAGACCCCTACCCGTCACAGCTTGTCCCGCTAAGTACGCTCTAGTACAAAGCGTCCAGTTAGTGTATTGTGTCTTTGTCTATCAGTGTATATACAACACCAGGAGCGAGAGTATATCGGGTCCTTGTCAACGTCTGTGAGTGCGAGGGTGTGCGAGTTTGAAACGTATCTTTGTACGTAAACAATAACACAAATCTGTAGTTGATCCCGGAATGTTATAATTTCATAGCGTTGCATTTCATCAGGACAAATGTAATGTTTTCTACGATGTCTCTCATTTGCACCCTTTACCCTGTTTCTCTCACATAAGTCAGACAACTGTGGTTCAAATATTTTACTTTCTATATATAGATTTACTCTATTAAACAATGAGAGCCAGTCGCAATTAAAACTCCAATTTCCTTATGAACTGTTCAAAAACTTTTTGTTAAATTTTGCTTTACTGTTGGATCCGTTGGGTTGTTTTTTTTCGCAATCCCGGAAACCGTATTGTGAAGAAAGCATCCTATGTTATATTTTTCTTAAATATTTATGCCGAGTGAATAAGCATTCCGCCAACGAAGAAGAGATGTCATTCAATAATGAACAGCAAACTGATTGGTTTAATAGACAAATAATTAGTCTTGACAAATTGAAACGGGTTAAAAAGAATTACCGTGTACAGAAACGCAGGGACTTGGATATATGCACTGTGGATTGGAAATTGGCGCCAAGTCCCTGTGTACTAGGACACAGGGACTTGGATATATGGACTGTGGGTTGGAAATTGGCACCAAGTCCCTGTGTACAGAGACACATGTCTGCATGCCATGTTGTTTGCTTTAAATGTTATAAGTTCAATTCTAAACCTTAAATACAGGTAAATCGAAGGATACATGGTTTAATGACATTTATTAAAAACACGCGCCATTTTCGTGCAAGTGGACGAATATGTACATATTAGTTGTGACTTGTATTTTTTTTTTTGCATTTTTCCGTTGTTTATAGAGGTAATATTTCATGTTATTTATAAGAGACAAGCTTATGTCTTGTTTAATATTGATGAGATTCAACCAATTTACCATCATGATAAATCCTGTTTCATGTACAGTTTTAAGAAGACATTTTACACAGTGACATAAGGTGCAAACATAATATGCATATATTATTGGAAGCAAACTGAAATTAAATATGATAAATG